CAGGCAAATTTGATATGGAAAGAGAGGCAGAGGCAGACAGAGGGAAAAGATACTGGACAAGATGACAACATGGCTAGGAGCAGCAAGAACAACAGACACCATTGCTGCAACGCAAGACAGTGAAGTGGAGGCGAATGATCACCCTCGCCAGTCGGCAAGGCACCGGATGATGATGATGAAACTTAGGTGTCCCATTTTCTCCCTAATTATTTTTCTTCTGACAACAGGCGATCCCAATCTCTTTCAATCGCAAATAAATCCTGTTTACTTCTTTTCAAGATAATTTAGTTGACTACGAAGGAGTTGATGTCGTCGGGGAGCCGAGAAAGTGTAAACAACAGATCAACTCATCCGAAATCCAACTTAACCGTTGGGGATTGTAAAGAAGAAGAGGTGCTGAGACCCGAGAACAACGATCAACTTAACCGAATATCAACCCATGCGAGTTCAACACTAGCGGAGTCGACTGCAGTTGTGTACTTTTTAAAAAGTTTTTGTAAAAGTGTTACGCCACTTGCAACACAATAAGATTATTATTATAAGTGCCGAAGATTAGAGGTGTTACAAAAATAACAAACACAAAAAAGAAGGAGGAGAGATCAGGAAGATGATATATGTTTGATAGGAAAGAAGGAGCAAACACACCAGAGTACCCGCCAACCACCCACGGTTGGATAATTTTTCTTTAAAAGCAAGACAAATGAACAATTTTATTTTGATAATGTGAATGACTCTATTGCCCAAAACCTACGAACGCTAATTCACCACGTCCAGACACAGATATTGCTAGAAATACTCTAGAATCTCTCAATATGCAAGTGCCATTAAGCTCACGTCTGAGTTTCTGCGATCAGGGGCTTCACTGTCGCATGCAGGAAACCCGAGTTTGATTCCCGGGTTGGGATAATTTCTATCGAGTATCTTGGTCTTTTTTAGGAGGAAAGATGGAAAACGGCGTACTAAATTAATTATTTATTTATGTATTTATTTATTTACTTATTTATTTATTTATTTTATTTTTGTATTTAATTGTTCCTTTGTTTCTTTGTTTCTTATTAATTCATTAATTAATTTCTCTTTATTAATTTTTAATTTTAAAATTATTTTCTAAAAAGTACTTGCTTATTTTAAAAATTATTTATTTATTAATGTTTTCAATTATTTATGTATTTATTCTCACTTTTAATGTTTTTCTTTTTTTTTTCTTTTGGGGGGAGGGGGTCAATAAGTAGACACGCACGAGTACTTTTTTAATAAAAGACGTACCTCTGCCAAGGCGTATCCCGTGATCTGCCTCCGCCATTATGGTGTCGACCAATCCGCCAGGCTGTAAGGAACTCGTCAACTCGGACGACGATTTGGAATTCCGGATGTCATTGCCTCTGTGCGTCTGCTGTCTTTTTTTGCAACCTGGGAGCAGGGAGAATGGCGGAAACACGATGTCGTCGACCTGTTTGTCCTGTGTGGGTTTTGGGACAGGGAGAGAAACATCTACATGACTGGGTAGGCCTATTCTGACAGGCCATGTTGAAGCCTGAAATCTCGGCATGTTGCATTTCAGCTTTTGTTCTGCCGCCCGCTGTTGTCTCTTCTGCCATATCTTGGAGTTTTTAGAACCTATCATGTTGAAATCAACTTTATACTCCTCGAAATCATCACTCTGACCTTTGCCCTCTCCTGATGAACCCATGAGGTTTCTCCCCTCCTTGAACTCCTCCGCATTGACGTCGTCCTTGTGGTAGATTCTGCTGTCCATGTGTTTTGTCTTTAGAGGAGAGATCTCCGGTACTTTCGTCCTCTCGCGAAAGGCTGATATACACGTAGAGCTGTAGTCTCGGAGTGTCCCTGCTCTCCGAGAGTTGTTTGCTGCTGTCACCGGCTGCTGTTCGGAGACCTTACCTTGTACTATGTGGAGAGACTCGTCTTTATCCCTCACAGTGGGAGTCACAGTGTGGGGGGAAGACAGTGGGGGAATATAGCGGTCTCCCAAGTCCCGTTGTTGTGGCGCGAGAACTTTGTCCATAAACCTATCTCTGCACACCGTTTGGTTTGCGAGAGGTCTTGCCCCGATTTTTGACGACCCGGACTCGTAACCAAATCTCCTGACCCTTGCCAAAGCAACGTTTCCGTAGTTTGTAGTTTCGTCGTGTGAGGATGAATCGTCGCCAAATTCGCCAGGAAGTTTGTCGTACGCCTGGACCAGCTGGTCGAAACACTTGAAGTATAACTCCCCGCGGTTAGGACGCTGGATTGTGGGAGGCGGCAGCGACTGCCGGTGGGATTCAGATGGAAGTAAGGGGTTGGTGATTCTTGTGCTCACAGCTTTATTCGGTCGGACCACTAACGCATTCATCTTTTCTCTTTTAAGCTGTCTTGATTTTGTATTATTAACAACACTATTTATGTTTTTAGTTTGAGTAGACCTTCTAGTTGGAGTTGAAGAGATGTCATTCCCGAGTCGATCTATAACGTAGTTTGCCTGTTTATGACAGTCTAGGGTCTGGTTTGTTGGTCTCTGGTGAAGTAATGAGTCGTACGTTGGGCAGTTTGTCTGAACAAGGTCTGCTCGCTTTTGAACTGGACCTCGGCCTTTGTCTACATCTAAAATATCTAAATTCAAATCCGAAAGCTGCTTATCTTTATCTTCTCTAGTTTTAAAATTAGGACTGCACAAACAGACAGGATTCAATTTTTCGGAGTCATTTGACCTCTTAATTATATTTTTCTTAGATTTCTTAGACTTCAGCGTCACCTTCAGCTTACGTTTAAACTTCTTCTTCTGTTGACCCAACGAGGACTTTTGTTCCATTAGTCAGGAGCTGGGCCCACGCCGCACAGTCCATGGCAGGGTGACAGGAAGCTTAGGTTGGCTACTTGGTGTTTACCGGAGGTGCAGTGAAGTGCAAAACCTGAACTCCCAACAAAGTGCGGCAAAGTAAAATAACAATAACAGCATGTGAAATGAAATATTTTAGAAAAATGTTGTAGGCTACATCACAGGAAGAGACAGACAAAGAAAAGAAGATATCATCAGACAACAAAAGGGGGCCGAACCGAGTGTGAAACGCACCGCGAGACAAGTTTAGACACGTTTTGAGAATAAAGGAGCACAACAGCCAGCTTCAAACTCAAAAGCCTACGACATGCGATACGACGGTTTCAAGATAGAAGAAAAGCCACACACAAAAATGGATCGATGGAGTAAAAAAGAAACCAACAACAAACAAAACAGTAGAAAAAAACCTTCAATGGCACATTAAGTAAGGAGATCCAAAGAGCAACAGTCCTGGCTCATGTCATTAAATAGATCTCCCCTCGACACCTAACAGTATCAGAACAGAAAAAGTAAGTAAGTTGCTATGAAGTGCACATCTTACCAACAACTATGATTGTACACGAATGATCTTTGCCAACAAAAAGATCATTTCAAGGCGGGGAAAGGGGGGGGGGGGGGTTCTGTAAAGAGCGACTACTATGAAATGGATACAAATGTAGAGGGATAGAGTTAGCATTAGTTAAAGCTAGGGTTAGGATTAGGGTTCGGGTTCCTTCTTTATTGAAATTAGTTTGTTGGGGTCATCGATCATTACGGAAGTCTTTCCATTTTAAGATTCCTCACAAGACGGTGTGGAAAACAAACAAAATCAGAAATTTAAAAAAAGAAGGGATTAACGAAGGTGTAGAAGGATAAGCAAACAGATCACAAAGAAAAGAGAACTTCTTTGCTGCAATTTCGTAATCTGTTTTGCCTTGAGGTCAACTATTTCACCAGAGTGACTCCTTGGTAAAAAGGAATGATAATTGCGTCTCTAAAGCAGAAGGGGGGAACCGTTTCAAGAGGACAATTGTTGTGTCGGCAAGGGCACATTTGAGTGTAATCGTTTTGAAATCAAGCGCTCGTCAAAATAATGAAATCGAATAAACCTATCATTTTTCCGCCCGTTGCTCAAGTTTTAAAAAATCAATTTCTTAAATATTTGCTCTGAATTTTTTTTGTTTATTTGTCGTACATTTAAATCAAATTTCGGTGTAGATTTTACTCAGAAAAAAGGGTGGTAAATGGCACTCAAAACGTAAGTTTGCAGTTACCAAGGACTCTTAAACTTTGAAATTCACCTAACTTTAGCTCCATTTTCTATCTTATCTCATCTATGACACCAGACGACCCCAATTTCTTTTAAAGTGCACACGATATATATTCATAAAAACACTAAACAAACGAACCAGCTCTGTAAGATGAAACCAACAACTGCATGCGCCCCAAAGGTGACAAGAGCCTGGTTTCTCTGCGTCGTGATACATTTTCTTTAAAAACTCTGAAAGACATTTGGACGTTCCCTATTAGTATTAGGCGTCAAATTTAACGCCACAAAGGTGCTGAAATTCGTTTTGATTTAGTAGTTGTTTTTTTTAGGGACACCCGAACTTCCGGAAGAGACAAGCCCGTGAAAGCGTATTGTAGTGCCTGTGACAATGCGAGGATTGTTACTGATTTAAATGCCATGGCTTCATCGTACTACACAAAATCACGAAAATTGTCAGCAATTTTCAGTCAGCGATGTATTTGTGCGAGTTCTTGTCGAGTAGGGAAAAGTAGGTCAGGTGGGTGCAATGCTGAAAAGGGACACAGAAATCAGAAATAATAATGTTATGGATTTCTTTGATAATAAAAAAGAACGTTTTTTTTTTTTTTCATTGACAAAACCCCCCCCCCCCCACATCGACACGATAATGGTCATTTAGTGCTGGGCAAAAAAAGTAAGACCGACAGAAACAACGAAGGAGAAGTTAAGAAGTAGGACCCGCCAGTAGCGCCCACCTACCACCCACGCAGGTCAATGTCTAACCCAGTACTAATGAACGGAATAATATAAAGGCAGAGTCAAATATCAATATACAGAGAAGGAAAAAGAGGCAGACAATATACAAAGAAGAACAGACAAAATGCACCCCCCCCCAAAAAAACAAAACAACCAACACCCCCCCTCCAAAAAAACAACAACAAGAAAAAATAACGAACTATACAGATAAGTTCATTCGGCTGTCCTTCTACTTCTACCACAACTGCTGCACTTCTTACTTGCGTACAGAAGATTTTTTATTTGTCTCTCACCCTCAACCAGCCTCGAACCCACAGAGCCATGGGTTAAAAGGGGAAGGGAGGGGTTAAGTTAAGTTTTGTAGATTTCAAGCAATAAAATTACCTCGCCCTCCCCCCCCCCTTTATTTTTTTAAAAACCGACACCGAAAAACAGGAGTATGGACTTGATTTCAGATTTAAAGCTAGTTCAGCAAGTGCACCTTCTTAAAGAGCAATCCAAGTGTGTTCTGAACCTTATAAAGTCACGGGGAAAGGTGCCTGTCAGTAAGCCATTTAATATTTAACTATGGACGATTTTTAAAATTTGTATTGGTAAGTGTCTTACGGCGCTCGCAACTGCATACTGTCATACGAGTGCACAGGGAGCATTAAGTGCCTGTCAGTAAGCCATTTAATATTTAACTATGGACGATTTTTAAAATTTGTATTGGTAAGTGTCTTACGGCGCTCGCAACTGCATACTGTCATACGAGCGCACAGGGAGCATTAAGAAAAACATTTTCAGTTTGATAGGAAGTAATTTTGAATTTTGCCCGGGTGGCGGCCAAAGCTGACAGTAATGTTATCGATTTTGGACCACTAAGAAATTTTTAAAGAGCACAATTTGCACACGGGACCTCCGAAAATGTTCGCCCTTATCCGAGAACGCTAGATGTTAGATTTTACCTACCCTAAGATCAGGGATGTAGCTGAAGGACAGCAGTAAGAAGCAGCCAAGTAATTAGGGGTTAAGAATCAACAAGTCTGTGAGAAATAAGGAGTATGTGGAACCAGATAGTGCGTCGGTCGTGACAACAAGGCCAACGAAATTTGCCAGTCCCCTACTTTCAGAATCTTAAAGCATGATTGAAAATGAACCCACATCACATTTCGTTCAACCAAAGAATAACCACAACGTTTTGAAGAGAAAACGAATGTGAGCGCGCGCGTGTGTGTGTGTGTGTGTGTGCGTGTGTGTGTGTGTGTGTGCGCGCGCGTGTATGGTTTTATAACAAGTGAGACAGAGTAAGAATGTTCAAAGGTATGTTTTTTTAAGCTATGAGCCTCACTTCTAAGTGACTAGGAAAGTAACTTCTTAGAATTATGTGCACTTGCAAATAAAAAGGCCAGATTATGTAAATGAGAAAGACTCGCCCGTTAAGCTGTCCCCGAGATTTTATGCACCTGCACCTCGCATAATTGAGCGAAATTTGATAATTTTTTGCATAATTTCTGATTATTTTCCATTATCATTCTTTGTTAATAAAATTAACAGAATCCCATAATTTCAGGTTTGGGCTCAGTTTGCATAATTTCAGAATTTTTTAGGGGCATAAAACCGCGGGGACAGGTTAAGCCAAAGGTGTGATAATATGACCATCTTGGTTCAGCGACAAAAACAAAGCTACACAAACGTTACAGCAGTACCGGATACACCTATTCCGATCGTTAGTATTCATGGGGTGGTTCTGTGATTATGGGGTATCACAATGGTTGCTCTCATGTCATGTAGTAAGATGAGACAATCCCTCACACTTCAGAACTTTTCTTGGAGACATTGCCATCAGTCCATGGATACCCACGGGTACCACACAGTCCGGATTTAGACACTCTTCGTTTTTTATTTTGGTTATTCGAAATACCATATCTGAGGCGAAAGATTCCAAATCATTCAAGAACTCAAACATCGAGAAGAGCTTGCGAGAGCTATTATGCAGCAGCGCAACACATCGGTTTATTCATTTAGCCAGAACATAGAAATTTATACATTATGCGTTTGTTTTAGTATGAGTTTTACGGCATTTGCAACACAATAAGGTCATATAAGTGCTGAAGACCAGAGGTGTTACAAGAGAGTAACAAACATAAAAAGAAGGAGGAGAGATCAGGACGATAGATGTTTGATAGGAAAGAAGGAGCAAACAACACCAGAGCACCCGCCAAACACCCACATATTATGAGTGATGGGAGACAACTAGGGCATCTTTTTTAAAGCTAACGGAGTGGGTGGTTTGATGGTGCTCTGGTATGGTTTGGTCCTTCTTTCCTATCAAATATGTATTGTCCTAATCTCTCCTTCTTCTCCTTTGTGCTTGTTACTCTCTTGAAACACCTCTAATCCCCGGCACTTATATGACTGTACTGTGTTCCGAGTGCTGTAAAACTTTTACAACTTTAAACTCAAGAGTGACTTTGAACTGATGCTATTCTACTTCAACATGAAGACTTTACTTGAACAAATGGATCCTTTGAATACTAGTGTGACCTTGAATTTAAGACTAATTTACACGCATGTCGTAGGGGTCATAAGCAGTCTATGTCAGTAACCTCAAAACCCTCAATATTTTTCTAATGACAAAAAATGTTTTTCTCAACATTTCAAGACACAATCTCCCCATTGCCAGCTGTTGAAGGGTTAGATAAAGAAAGAATGAGTCCAGCTGCCAGTCATAATTGTGTCACAATTCGGTGGAATCAGGAACTCGCCAACATTAGATCATTTGTCCTGATTTCGATTTTAAGAAACATAGATCTATCTCAAACAGAAGTCAAGATATCTGTACTGAAAGAGGTGGGGGTCGCCCAGTACCAGGGTTAGAAGAACGAGAAAATGGTCGCCCAAGTTAGGTGACTAAAGCTGTCGTGTCCATGGAAACAACATATTTACATTTTTTTGTGCCACTGACCAACGTTTTTCAATAAAAATCCACACAGAAATTTGTGACGTAAAAGGGTGTTACGTTTTTCTAAGAATAGATACAAATTCCCCAATGGGTGGAAATAACAACTTACGTCGGTCTTCAGTTCCTTCCATAACGCCCCACAATAGGTTACTTTACTTTTTATAGGAGCTGTTTTTAACTCCCCCCCCCCCCGACACAATTTAGTCTAGATCATTTAGGAAATGTGCTTCCGACTGCCTATCACACAGGGACAACTCGGACAGAAAAGGACACAGCATCCTAGCAGAAAAACTGAGACTAGTGAGACATTTTATAAAACTTTTTCCCCCACTGGAAAATCTAACTCCGGTCTCCTGCGCGTGGTAGCGAAGCCACTAACTGCTACACCACAGACGCCGATATACAATCAGTGAGAGGAAAAAAGTCCTGTTGTTATATTTCAAAAGCCTAAAGTACTGCAGCCTGCCACTGGCGAAAACATTGTCCCCTTTAATGTGGAGATCCTTTAATGTTGAAAGGTTGAAAGTAGCAATAAAATACAAATGCATCGAATGCAAGAGTCTTCATGTTGCAAGCAACACTTGCAATTAGTAATACATGTACTGAAAATAGAAAAAAAAAGATGAGAAAACAAAAGCTTCAGGCAATACGCTGAGAATTTCTTTTGATACCATCCTTTATATTGATCTTTGGGAATCATAAAAACAAAGCAATAACACATTTTTATGAGATGAAAAAACGAAAATCATCATAAAAGCATAACAAAATAACACTCCAAAAAAATTACATGTATACAACTAGTACATAGTACAATATCGAAGGCTACCGTTCCTAAAAAATGACAGCCTGCTGTTTAGTTTCAGGATGAGTGTTACGGCACTTGCAATATAAATAGGTAATTCATTATATATACAAGTGCCGAAGAGTAGAGGTTTCATAAGAGAGTAACATACTATGAAAAAGAGGAAAAGAGATTTAAGGATGATGGATGTTTGATAGAAAAGGAACAAACCACACCAAAGCACTCACCAACCACACATCATCTGGTGCTTGATTTGAGCCCACTTCAATATCTTAAATCAACATTGGGAGATAACCACAGTCAGGATAATAATTATGCGTGATGACTCAGGGGGAGAAGTCGCTCACCAATTTTCAGGCATAGGGAATTACAGATATCATCTCAAAGCTTGTTCAATAACATGTTTCTGAAGAAAAAAAAATACGCATCTGTCTTGAATAGAAGTCAACACAATATGCGATTGAAGGAGATGGGGTCGCCTGGTGTGGGTCAAATTAGCGAGAAAAATGGCCAACAATGTTTGCTGACTTCTAAAGCTTGAGTGCCCTTGAAAACTGCAAAACTACAATTTTTGTGCCTTTGGTTAACCTTCTGCAGTAAAACAGACAAAGAAGTGTGTTTTGACTCGGCATGAGAGTAATGAGTGAAAAAAACACCAAAAATGTCGGACCACAAATTGATCAATGGGTGGAAAAAAATGTCTGTTTCTTTGATTTAATTATTTTGACAAGCGCCTGATTTTATAATGATGTCACTTATATTTGAAAACAAAGGTAAACTACTAGCATTTTGATAGCCCTCTGATACTCAGTGACACAGGCATTGGGGAGTAGTCCACAGCAAGCCAGCATAATTAGAACTCTTTTGTAGATCATGCTTAAGTCCAGCCGTTCTTTTTTTAAAGTCTTTTTATTTTTCTCAGAACAAACCTCAAAGTCATGAACACTCTTAGTTTCTTGAACTCTTTAAGTACACAGTCACTTATAATGTAAAAATAGACCTTAACCCTGTCCAACCAAATCAGTCAGGTAGTCAGGCACAATGGAATGTAATAACAGTAACATATATTTGTATAAACAAAGATATAGTACAATAATCAGCACATATACTCAGTTATAACAGCTGTTTAATTATTGTGTCTATTGGGGCACACATCATGAAACTACAGCTGGAGAAATAATGCATCCAACACATAATTACATCACAACACAGTGGAATCAGGTACTCGTCAAATTTGGGACTTATAGAATTATTAACATCATCTAAAAGCTTGTTCACATGTCTCGCATTTGGCGAAAAAAAACTCCATCTATCGTGAACAGAAGCCGGGATATTTACGATTGAAGGATTTGGGGGTCGTTGGGTATCAGAGGAAAAATTAGCGAGGGAATGGCTGCCAAAGTTTGGTGATTCCCAAAGCATGAGTGTCATTGGAAACTAAAAATTTACATTTTTTGTGCCTTTATTGAACCTTTTTCGGTAACAAATTCACACAGAAATGTTTTCAAAAATACCTAAAAGGTGTCGAGCCAGAAAACAAAATTTCCATAAAAATTGCCAAAGTACCGGAAAAATGCCATTTTCTTCGATTTCATTATTTGGAGGAACGCCTGATTTCACCACAATGCGTCACATGTGCATCTCTTTTGGTTTACAGTTCCCAACGGTTAAGTTGAACTTCGGATAAGTTGATCTTTTTTCCACTCCCACGACGACATCAACTCATCTGTAGTTGACTGTATTCGTATCATCTTAAAATCTGTTCATTTGCCTTGCTTTTGAAGAAAAAAAAATCAACTATCTAGAATAGAAGTTGAGATTTTTGTGATTAAAGAAGGATCACTTGATGTCGGAGGTAAAATTAGCAAGAAAAAGGCAAAGGCAGGCAAAGTTTGGTGACTTCCAAAACTGTTGTGACCTTGAAAAATGCAAATTTACATTTTTTTTGTACCTTTGATTAACCTTTAATCAGTAAAACCCAAGCAGGAATGTGTTTTTCAATGAACATAAGAGGTGTTGAGACAAAAAAAACCAGAAAATTCGATAAAAATTGCAATGGTTAAAAAATCTCAGTTTCCTTTATTTCATTATTTTTTTTGACGAGTACCTGATCTCATTATGATGCTGCACAAATGTTTATTTCCAACAACACACGTAAATTGCTGAAGCTACAATGGCCTTTGATTGAAAATATCACAGTATAAGGCAGATGTGTGTAGTGTAGAAAAGTGAAAAAAAAGCAATCAATCCATTCGTTTTGATATTCAACTGCTGCAAGATGCCATAAAAAAAAAAATCATCTCCAATCTTTTATGACCCAAAAGCAGGTAATAAAAACAGCAAGCAAAGCATTCAATTAAAATCAAATAGAGAGAAAAGAAGTTCAGCGCAATATTTTTCTAATACAAACTTGTTAAATGCTGACGTGGATTGTAAATTCACTCTAAAAATTTAACATTGCTTGTACATTTTTAAGTATTTCTCTTTAATGCGGAAAGAATATCGAAAATCGTGACTGAAAATTAGCATCTTCTTTGACGTAAGGGTAATAGTAAATATAATTCGTATTCCAAATGTTGTTATAAATATTGAAAGCTACGCTGGTGATACTGGAGCAGTTGAGGGGCTGGAGAGGCACCGGAAAAGGCGAGGTCATGTGACCCTCTGTGCCTATCAGGACAAGAGGTGTGTCTAACGTTGAGAAAAACAGTCCCTGACCTTTGGGGTTGGTGTAAGCGATGCCGGTGGTGACACCTGTGGAAGAACAAAACAGCTTTACAACCGAGAATGGTTTGTGGTCTACAAAACGGTGTCTTTGTGGATGCTGTTAAAAAATATTAAATTTTGATTTTGCAACAGTAACAGAAAGAGTAAAAGGTGGGGTAGACACTGAGAAGGTTTGTTGGTTTGTTGTAAAACAAGGGTGATAAGGGAAACTGCTACTCTTTGAAAACTGGTTTACTTTTCATTAGAGTTTTAAAGCACTTGCAACACAATAAGGTCATATTATTGTATTATAAGTGCCGAAGATTAGGTGTTTCACAAGGGAGTAACAAAAACAAAAAAGGAGGAGAGATAAGGACCATAGATGTTTGATAGGAAGGAAGGAGCAAACCACATCAGAGCACCCTCCCAGCACCCACTTTGAAAACTTATATTTTATCCATACTATTACCCTAGTAAACCTGAAAACACTCAGAAACATTCTCAGCTTCCCAGGAAGGATACAGTGCAAGCAGCTGATGAAGTGCTCAAACATGGACAAATCGACATCTTTAAAATCAAAAGCGAGACAAATAAACAGGCTTCAAGGCTGTACCATTAAATTCCACATACACAAAACCTAAAGAATGTCCAATTTATGACACATATATTTCAAAATTTGGGGCTTTGTACATTTTAACAGCTGGCCAACAATTAAAAAAAAAATATAATTCAAAAATTGACGACATTGTTCGGGCTTGGACTGACCGTGGTTGTACTGACTGCCGTTGAGCACCACATGACACGGGTCAATGGCCACACCCATCTTGTCCAGTAGCCAGGACTGACCCAGGTGTTGTGGGGAGAACTGGATGGAGACAGACTCAGGCAGACGAGTGGTCACTTTGCCGATCATCAGCACAGTCACATCAAGACCTGATGAGGAGGCGCAGGTTAGCAGTTTGAGACGGGGGGGGGGGGGGGGGGGGGGATTGATTAATGACAATGATACATATTGATTATCACAAATTCTACACTCGTAGAGTGTAAATCTATGTTTTACAGCACGTTCCATGCTCTTTACAACTACTGCCGAAATTGTCTAAGATGGCTACTCATTGTCAAAGAGAAAAGTGGTTGTCTTAAGACAAGTGGCTGTCTTACACAGTGTTATCATAATGTAAAACTTACGCAAGGGAGGACATGGAAGACTGACTTATACATGGTGACTGCTGGAACAGGTTCGACTATAACATTACCCTAGTAGATCCAAGAATACTCAGAAACATTTTCAGCTTCCCAGGAAGCATACTGTGAAAGCAAACCTTCTTTTTCTGCATTCAGTTTCCTATTCACTTCATAGACATTGCCGATGGTGGTTACTTTTTTTGGCATGGTGAACGAGGTAGATCAGGATACATAATTATCAGCGATACAAAAACGTAGGTAAATTCTAAATGACATCACAGATTTAATTCTGGCTGTTCAGGAAAATCCATGAAATGAGTTCTGGCTGATGGGAGTTAAGCAACCCAGAGCAAGTGGCTACCTTAGAATTACAAGTTTCTATCTGCTCCGTACCTACTTTTGAAAAATTTGACGTAAAAAATTCCGAGTCCCACATGTCAAGCTTTTTCGAATGCAATTCTTTGAATATCTTGATAAAGACTCCAAATAATCTTACGATTTTGATTGAGCAGATCGAACGTTTGGATTCTGACCTAATGGTCTTAGTTTAGTAACTCGAACTGATTAAAAATGTCAGATAGAGCTTTGTAGTTCTAAGGTAGTGAAGTGTCAAACAGCTGTTACTCAAGAAATACCTGGGGTGTATTTGTTTTGCTCATAGTGAATGTAGAAAGAATCCGGGGCTCCATATTTGCTCCTCGTCTGTTCATCCACAGTGGCAGCCTGAACCCACAGATCACAGCTAGGGTCATTTCCTGTTAAAAAAACGAAAAATAGAATAAGCTTCCTACGCAGTTCCTCTGCCCCATAATTATTACGATTTTAATAAAACAACACTAACAAAAAAACAACAAAATAAATAATAACAATAACAATAATAGTAAAATATTAATAATAATGATAATAATAATTATAGTAATAATAATAGCACTGACAATATGAACAAAAAATAGTATTATATAGCCTACATTTCTATTGAAACGTAGGCTCTAAGGCTTTAAAAAATATCACAATTATCATGTAGACAAGAAAAAGATATGAGGTGAAAGAAATCACAAGTAGAACCTACGCCTGCGATATATGTGTTTCACCCCGATATCCCATCTCCTCTTCTCCGGGTGGGCGTTGACAGTCACGTTTGGTTTGTCGTACCCAACTCCAGCCTCGTAATTGTACAGCTTGGCCATGTCGACAAAATCTTTCTCCACGTATGTGTCGTAGGTCAGTTCACCCAGAGGGTACTTTGGCCCCGCCCAGTCAATCTGAGGATAAGTTGCGGAATGAGGAAGACAGGGAGACAGTAGAACACCACGCAATCATTAGGATGCTGGAAATGGGGATACAGAGGTAAGAAGGAAGAAAGGAACGATTATCCGAAAAGGAAAGACGTCGCCATATTCAAACAGCCACTGAAACAATCCGTATGGATATCTTGCAGGCTTCGGTGCTGAAAGGAACTGAGCACTTATGGACCTGTCCGGTGTGCAATGGCGTTGTTGCCCAGGACAGGTAATACAGGTAAACAGTCAATTTGAGAATAACAGCTGTTAGTATCACGAACGGTGGAATCGGGCACTCGTCAGTTTTGGAGTAAATGGAGTTATTGGTTTCAGCCTACTCTTCAACCCTTCGTGACACGGGGTCAGTTTGCGCCTCACCGGGCACAGTTTTGTATCACCGGGCACAGTTTTGTATCACCGGAGACACAGAGTGGCGCTAGATTTAAAGGTCAGTTTCCTATAATTTGACTCGGTTTACAAATACCGTATGTCAAAAAGGAAAAGATTTCTTTGTACATAAAAAATATTTCCGAATGTGAATCTGCGATTAGTTTTACGAAATAGATCTAATAGAAACGCTATGCACAATACAACCTATAACGAACGGCGTCATCATGGTCCTCGCACTTTGCAAGGCATGACGAAAGCTGTACGTCACAGCAGCATACAGGCTCCTTCGCTGTATGAGAAAATATGACGAACGGCGTAGGTCACATAGATCACGAAGGGGTTATAGCTTTTGGTGAAGAAAATGTCCCTCTTTTTTAAAATAGAAGTGGCAGTATTTACGATTGAAGGAGGTGTGGGTCGCCTGGTGTCAGATGCAAAGTTAGTGAGAAAACGGCTGCTAAAGTTTGGTAACTTCTATAGCTTGAGAGTCCTTTGAAACTGAAAATATACATTTCTTGCCCTTTAATCAATGTCTTCCAATAAAAAGTCAAACAAAAATAGGTTTTTAAATGGATATAAAAGGCATTGAGCAAAAAAAGAAAAATTCAATAAAAATTGCCAAATTAGTGGAAAAATGCTGGAATGCTCTATTTCATTAATTTGCTGAGTGCCTGATTTCACTACGGTGCCACACATATGTATGGCCTACCTATTTGGAAAGCCTAAACACAAGGGTGACGGGCAAAGATCAGGGTAATGTAGCTTTTTTATGAGATTCCAAGCAAAATAATGAATGGAAAACCATGATCACCCATGTCTGTTGTAGATCTGGCACTTGATGATGATGATGATGAAGAAAGAGAAGAGAAATAAACAGAGAAACCGAAAGAGAGACAAAGGGAGACAAAGAAATGTCAATACTGACAGAACAGAGAGGCATTATAGCAGAAAACCTGACAGAGCAAGAACTAGCAACAACAATGTAGCGCAGCCACCCACCTTGTTGTACGGGTCATAGAGCTGTATCAGAGAACCATCCATAGACACTGTGAACCGGGTGCCGTCAGCACAACGGACTTCTTTATTTGGCTTCACTTCCTCATAGTCTGAAAAAAAAACAACCTAACTATAAAAAACAAAAAACAAAAAAACACATTTTGCTAAGCCCCCATTGACACAATTTAAATAATTTTGGAGGCGGGCTTCTGACCCGACCTGCCACAGCCCTCCCCCCCCCCCCCCCCCCCCGGCTGAGAGAGATACAACAGCCCAGCAGAACTACCGAGATGCCTGACAAAACTGTTCCCCCTACTCGAGAATCGAACTTAGGTCTCCTGCGTGTGAAAAATGAAGTGCCTAGCTGGTGTACCATAGATGCCAGGTTGTATTCTGAGAGGCAACACAATTTGTAATTACTTTTGTAACTAATAATTATAGTACACAAACAGCACAGAGTGAATTTAGTTTTCAGTATTAATTCTTTCTCTTTCCGCTCTCTCTCTCGATCCCCCTCTCTCTTTCTTTTTTCCACTTCAGCTTTTTCTCTGTTCCCACTTTTTCTCTCTTCCACCTTTCACTTTTTCTCTTTCCCCCTCCCTCTCTCTCTCCCCTCTTTCTCTTTCTGCTCTCTCTATTTCTTTTATCACCCTCCACTCACCCTCCCCCTCTCTCTCACTCTCTCTATCCATCTCTCTCACTCTCTCTCTCTTTCTCTCTCCAACTCCCCTTCCCCCCAAAGAAAAACATATACCACTTAGGTCAGGGGATTGAGCCTCCATCCTCTGGTATTCCTGTTTTACCATGTCGGCCAGCGGGTGGTCCCCCAGCGCGGCCATGCCATAGTCCAGGAACTGACGCTGCTCATGCCACGACATTTCCGTCCTCCGGTAGATGTCACCTGAAAACACATTTAGTTAGTTAACTAGTCGCTATCTTAGAATGACAGAGTTCTATCTGCTCAGTACTTAGTTTTGAGAAATTTGCCGTAAAAAAATTTTTGAGTTTCAAATCATGTCAGGCTTTTTGTAATTCAGTTCATTGAATATCTTCATAACAACTCTGAAAAATCTTACAACTTCGATAACGCACATAAAACATTTGATTTCTGACCTCATGGTCTTAGAAACTCAAAATGATCAAAAATGTCAGATACAAGAACGCTAGAGCCTATAAATGGCAGCTTGTACTGTATGTTTCCCAGGAAGTTGAGATTGTTTTAGAATGCTATCGGGTCTGCTGGGGTAATAATATATAGATTGCAAAACGCAGAGAGCTTGCTGTGGAGCAGGAACTTGCGCTATACAAAAGCTATCTACTATTATTAACTCCTCATCTCTGACACACTGCCCCCTGAGGCTTGCCGTCGAAACCACTGTGCCAGTGATCTACTGAGAGCAGATTTGTTACATTTTTTTTTCACAATGACAATGACATTGTAACAATTTTTGGCAAGTGTAAAAAATATGCCTTTCTTACTGTCTCTTCTTTCATTAGATAAAACAATTCAAAAAGGCTAGTTTGTTTTGAATTAATGATTGATTTAATGATGTGTATGATTCCGTCAGGTTTCTTGCAAAAAGAGAGCTCCCGTGCAGTAAAAAAAACCCATCCTTCGGAGATTCTGAAATATTCATGTTTACTGAGCACCCATCCCCAACAATAAGAAGGATGCCATTTTATAGCTCCCCAAATTTTGTCAGTCATGCATTATGGAAAATGTTATCAGTGAGTGCCAATAGCTATATAAGTAGCACCATACCATGGCTCTTTGCTTGATAAACGTTTTGACTTATGCAAACAAGCTATCAGAAAACATAGAATAACAGGGCACTCTTTTAGTGTTGTGCTGGCTAGGTACGGATCGGATGGCCCTGGTTCCAATCTCAGACTGGGTGTTCTTGAACTCAGGTCGTTTTGTGGAGTTTTCAACGCTCTCAACCCGTCTGGCTTGATCCAGTTGAAGATGGACATTCAATTTAGAGATCCCGTCTCTTTAAAAACCATATGAAGTTGACAGGGGCCCTTATCTCAAACACATACTATTAATCTACAATGTAATTCTTACTCTTATGTCACCTTAACACTCTTTGAGCCATACCGACCTTAACTGGCATTCCTGCCATGTTGACATACCGGCTTACCTGCAGTAGAGCAATACCAGCCCGACACATTCGCCTTTAGTGCAAGCTTAGAAATATAAACATTCCGTTCTACATCTTGATGTCGACATCCTAGGTCTTTGCACCTTACGTAAAATATCATTGAAATATGTTGTTTAGATCCAAAGCAAAAGCAATTTCCTCTTAAAAACACTGAAATAATTAAGTTCTGGGAAGCCATCAGCTGGCCGCCATTTTGGTTCTGCTGTGATGACCTGCTGACATATTTATGGAGTTAAGAGGGGGTTAATGGGGTACAAATTTCAAGAGTTAATTTTAATCAAAAAAGTGCTTTCAACCAATCGGTGAATCTAATATGACTTTAACTTTATTATACCTTGTCTGGCTCTCGATAACGCCTGATTGGTCCAGTTTACGTTGTCCAGAAAGTAATGGGCCCCCCACGTGTGCTCTGGAAGTTTGATCAGGAAGCGGAGCATTCGTTGGATTCTGCTATCCTTCAACGAACATTTACCTGGAAACAGCCAATGCAGAGGGATTGAGTACCATCAAATAATACTAATATGACAGTTTTTTTAGGGCTCAACTCCGGTTAAAAAGCATGTTGCATGTGCTTTACATACACAAAAAAACAACAACAACCCCCCCCCCAAAAAAAAACACAAAAAAACTCCAGGAAAATCCAACATATTAACAATACCTAGCGCTCTCACTTAAAATCTAAATATGTCTGCTTAATCCAAAATCAGAAATGACAAAAAAAAACCCCAAAAAACTTGCATTCAAAGATGGAAAAAAAAAGGAACAAAGTTTGTGGGCATGATAAGGAATACGAAATGTACAAAAAACTGAAGTGTATAGAATTGTTCACGTTAGCTCTTTATCTCCGATACTATGCCAAGGCCCTCTTTTGGAACAAAATCTAAAACTGACACTTATGTTACTAAAGTAGTCATTAAATCAAAACAAGTGAGTCTATTTTGATAATTTTTCATCTAATGAATGATCTCCAAGTAAAAAGAGACCTGTTTTCAGCAATTGCTGAAAATTAATTTGACGTCGAAGTTGTCGTAAAGGAATGTGCCTGAACCACTGTCCGTGACTCATTGGCACAGCAGTTCCAACCACAAGCTGCTGTAAGCGGCTTGACGGAGATATAGAGTAATGAGTTTAAAGACCAGTATTTCTACAAATGAGGAGTCGACAGGAAAAACGAATCACACACAGAAAATCGTGAGGGTATTAATTTTGTTAGCTTGTTGACTAATAACTGTATTTTTGTTCAACTGTTGGTTGATTATTGATGTTAGATTTTCTATTCAACAAACAAAACAATAAACCACCAGTCAAACAAATATGAAGTTCTGAGTCCACAAGCTTGCTTTTAAAATTGACACCTGACAATTTCCAGTGTGTGACTATGCCTGTTTTTCCCGTGTACTCCTCAAATTATCTCTTTGGTTACCGGCTTCAAGACATGACTCCAAGGCCCTCTCAAAGGCCCTTAACCTGGCGGTCTTCTTAGGGTCCGAGACGATGCCTTGTATCCAAGTGTCCCCGATCTCGTACGTGTGGACAGGCATCTTGTCCTTTAGAGGCTCAACGGCAGCGATGAAGTTGTCGAAGGTCGAGGCCACCAGCTCTGCCCCGGGGAATTCCGCTCTCAAAATCTCGTAGTAGCCTAATATTTCCTGTCAAGTGACAATTAAAAATTTTTAAACTGCTAAGTTAAAGACATGCTCCCCCCCCCCCCCCCCCCCCTCTTTTCTCTCTCTTTTTATTTTTATTTAGTACCCGTTTTACAGCACTTGCAACACATTTAGGTCACCTTAAGGGCCAGACATTAGAGGTGCTACAAGAGAGAAACAAACATCAAAAACAAAGAGGATTGATCAGGACGATAGATGTTTGAAGAAAAAAAAAGAGCAAATCACATCAGAGCACCCAGTCCCTTTTCTCTCCTTGCGGCTCCAGCACACACACACGCACACACACACAGACACACACACACACATATACACTTAAGCAACCAAAACAAAATTACTTTAATATCTATTGGAATTGGGACTTGTGTCGTCAATGCTGAAGGAAAAGTAGATATCTTTATATCTTGTCCTGTGTAAGCCAACACACACATAAACAAATATACGAGTACACACAGTATGATACACATTCACTCTCTCTCTTTTCCACACAAGAGTGAATCCAAAATTATATTTACACTGTCAGTTTCTCTCTCTCTCTCTCTCTTTCTTACATACACACACACACTCCCTCTCTCTTCCTCACACACACAAACACATATACACTCTCACACAATCACACAACGACCCACCCATCTACTCACACACACAACCAATACCCATCTACACCCACATCCACCCTCCCACACACACAGCCCGCCAGCCCCCTCCCCCGTCCTCCCCAATCAAAAAACAAACCTCAATATCAACAGGAGGCCCGGTGTTGTCGGTGCGAAAGGCAAAACATAGCACCTCATCCAGGCCTTCCATAGAGTGACATTTGTCGGTGGCTAGACCACCGGGGTGGGCGGGGTCCGGACCTGGGTTCAGTGGGTAACCACCTGGAGATGACACAAAGTGTCTGAGCTTGGAACTTACCATTTCCTGATGATTTATTAATAACGCATTGCACCTCTGGCTTTGCAGTCAAGCATGATATTTTTACCAAACTAACAGTGGGCAATGTTTATTCATAAAATATTAAACTTTTCCAACAACATAGTAAAGATAATAATAAAATGATAATAATTAATAGCATTTGCCTAGCACAAATTCCCACTCAACAGCAAGCTCTCTGTGTTTCACAATCTACAAAAGTATCCAAAAAAAAAAAAAAAAAGAAAGAAAAGAAAATTGAAATCTTAGTTTAAATTTAAAATCTTCGTTTAAAGTTAACGAGAAAAATACAGGATTTTCTATTTTCCTTCATAGAAAGTCCTATCTGAAGGTGAAATGTACAGCGTTTTACTGAACTTTGCAACAAAATGCAGTCAACATTGTCTAAGATGCACCACCACCACTGTTTTGGAAAAAAATGGTCATCTTAAATAGGTTACACAGTCGTATAACGTTTTTAAAAAAATAGGAGGGGGGTGAGAATGGTTATACAGGTGGCTGTTAGAACAGGTTCGACACTATCGTCAAATTTTTTAATAGCAATAACTTTATGTACAAATTTATGATCGTACAAATGCTTACATTTGCACAGTGAGTAATGTAAGTGTGCTTGTGTCTGTCAGAGTGTGTGTGTGTGTGTGTGTGTGTATGTGTGTGTGTGTGTGTGTGAATGTGTGTGAGAGAGTGTGTGTGCATGTGTGTGTGTGAGTGTCTGTGTGTGTGTGTGTTGTGTGCGTGTATGTGTGAGTGTGTGCGCGCGTGCGTTCCAAGCAGCACCTAGCTTAACCCTTTGAGGCCTTGCCTCCGGTACAGCGATGGGGCGTAAAACTGCCCTGGGGCCTTGCCACAAGTACAGCAGTGAGCGAGACCCCATCCACAACCAGGCCCACCTCAGACAAAAAGCGTACGGAAAACAGCGCTTACTACACAAAATGTTCTTGATTATTTAGAGGATCTTTCTGAATTAAATAATGGAAATGTCGAGAACTACCCTGCGTGGGATATGAAATGTGATTCTGACAATCTAATGAATGTTAGTAATATATATCTCAGCAGCTCAGGCAGAGGGGTATGGTAGCCTAAGGAGGTCAGGACTCAAAGGGTTAACTCTTTAAACCCTGGGTTTTTTCCACCGTTTCCCAGAGTTTTTTCTACAGTCACCTAAATCAGGAGCACTATGTCTCATTTTAACCCCAAAAGTTTGCCTCCAACTTCTAAACTGTGGAAACAAACAAAAGCTAAGCCATTACTAAAAGAAACTTGGCGGGGAAATAGTTCCGAAAAACAAGCAAAAACTAGAGCTAAATTATAAAAACAAAACAGTTGTCACTAGTACTGGACGTTCCCAGAGTCCGATGAGGAAAAAGCTTATTACCGCTGGACGCTCAAAGAGTTCAGTGTAAAACTAAGGTGTGTATCAGATCACGCACAAAAGAGTTCCATCATCATTCCCATTCCACTCACCTTTATCCCAGAATCCAATAATCCCATCGGCATCTTTCTCCGACACTTTCCACAGGAATGGGCTCGGAACAGCTGGTGGGGCTGTGCCTGGGTTGACCCCAACAGAGATGGCCTTGACCCCTCGAGAAATGAGGCGTGGGATAACAGCCTTCGTGATACCTTGAGAGAAACAGACAGAGTAGTAAGAACAGAAATTAAGACTACACTGAAAAAACGACGGTAGTCACAAACTGGAAATTGTGAGGGCGCCAATTTTAAAAGCTTGTGGACTCATTTAATGTTTGACTGGTGGTTTATTGTTAAGTGTTGCTGAATGGGGAATCTAACAACAACAATCTACAAACAGTTGAACAAAAATACAGTTATGAGTCAACAACAAGCATTCAAAATTGGTACCCTCTTGATTTTCAGTTTGTGACTACCGTCGTTTTTCCTCTGTAGTCTTCAAATGTTCAGGAGAAATATTCTCTTCTGCGAATGTATTGGTCACTGTCAGACATTGCCGGATGGACTATTCATAACATTACTAGGAGCAAAGCAGCTGCAGAACCTGAAAACTTCCCTTGGGGCCGGCTCATTTAGGTAAGTGTACTGGAAAAGTTCTTGCCCAATACCCCAAGCCCCCAAGTTCAATTAAAAGATCATGCAAAATGACCACATCATCATTGCCTTTTTCACCCTGGATCAGGGTATAGATAACAAACAAATACTTTCCACATTAACAGATCCCTGGGCTAGCCTCCTGATA